GCGCAGCGTGTCCTGGTGCACTTGCACCGCCTTCGCCAGCGCCTGCTGGTCGCGCCCGTTGCTCTGCCCGGAGGTATGGCTTCCTTCGGCGCTGCAGGGACAGGACAGGGACGGCGTGCCCGTCAGGCCCGGGGCGCCACGCGGCTGGCGGGCGGCCTGGGCCCCGCCACTCACCTGTCGTGCTCCTTGTCAACCAGGTGGTACCTGGCCCGGAAGGCCACCAGGTGGGCGTAGTATGCTGGCGCCGGGATGGACACCGAGCGTGTGCAGCGCACGTAGGTGTGGCACAGCTGGTACGTGAGGATCTGCAGCTCGTCGGAGGAGAAGCGATTGTCATCCCAGAGCACGTGGTAGTGGGAAGGCCTGCTGGTCCCCTGGAAGTGGTCAGATGCCAGAGGTCAGCCAGGGAGGCGGCCGCCGTGCTGCGGCCACGCGGCCACGGACAGACGACCAGAAAGTGGCACCACAGCTGGCTGTGACAAAGGCGCGTGACCTGGCGCCTGCGCGGCAGACTGCGGACGGAGCGCAGCTGGCCGGCCGGCGCAGGACAGTGGCCGCACGTGCCGGCCTCTCTGCGCCACCTCGCGAAGAAAGGGAGGTGCAACCCCCGTCGGAGCCGCGCGGCGACAGCACCACTCGAGAACGGTCTGAGCACTGCAGCCGCCTGGCCGCCGGGCCCCGGGGTCTTCTGGGCCCCACTGTTCCCGCCCGCCTGCCCGTCTCCCCACCCTGGGGACGCTGGGTTCCTGCCATGGTGGGTTCGCCGTGGCCGCGGGCAGGAGGGTGCCCGCTCCGCGTGCCCACCCCTTCCGCCAGCCTTGCCGCGTGTCTGCGGTCAGGGGGCATGAGAGTCCCTAATGTGCTGCCATGTTCAGGTTCTGGGGGTGGCGCGGGGCGCAGCACTAACAAGCGAAAGCAGCTTCCGCTGAGTCCGACCCCCGCCTGCCCCGGAGGTGACCACAGGGCGCAGCAGACCCCTCCTGACCCGCCCGCTGCTCCCCTCAGCCGTATATCCGTAGGTCGTCCTGCTCTGCTCCCCGCGCTGTCTCTGGGGAAGCCTCTCACCGCCCCGCGCCTCTGGCCTGCACCCCAGGTCTGTGTGCACAGATACACCTTTTATAAACTCTCTCGGGCGGCACCACAGCTGCCGCGACCTGCCGAGGTCAGCGGCCTCGCGTGCTGCAGGGGCCTGAATTTCCCCCAGGAACAGGGAAAGGGCAAAGTCTGCAGCGAATGCTCATGTCCACGGGGGCACGCAGGCCCCCTGACCGCAGACACGCGGCAAGGCTGATGGAAGGGGTGGGCACGCGGAGCGGGCACCCTCCTGCCCGCGGCCACGGCCACAGGTCCTGGGGTCCGCTCAGGCAGTGGCTGTGCAGACGCCACGCGCTCACAGGGCCCCCCGAGGCGGGCG